TAATTGAAAATAGTAGAGTAGAATATAGCAGTACATTATTGGAGAGTAGTGGTAGTAGTAGTATAGTATAGTATATTATAGTATTTATATTATAGTATTATATGGTACAGCATAATATAGTGTTGTTCAACTGCAACAAATTTATTTGTATTTTACTTACCTCGAAATCTAGTTGACATTTTGACATGAGGCCTGCATCGGCATTAGTTTCAAGACTCCCAACTGTATTTTGCTGCTTGGCCACTTCCACAAGTCGTTGGTTCGTCTCTTCTCGTATCCTCCTGTCCCTGTAGAATGCTTGTCCAGTTCCACTTTTTCTGTAAACTGTACTCCTGTTGTCTTCTGTCGGTATCACCACATCTCTTGGCGTTTTCCCCGCCAATATGGCTGATTTCGAGTGAAATAGGCCTGACAACTGGGGGCCATCATGAATTCCTTCAACCAGACTTTCATTTCCAACATCATTGGCAGGACGGTTGTTGCCGAAACTATGCATATCTCGGAGGCTGGGCTCAGTCCAGCCTTTGATAAAATGCTTTTCGATCAAGCGGTCTGAGTCTGCATTTGCTTCACCGCCACATACGACGCCGGCATGCTTGCCATGCTCCAGAGATCCGACAGTTGATGGGACTTGCATCGTGTTGATGTTTGGCGAGAAAGAGGAACTGTCGGCCAGATCGCTTTCAATTCTGGGGTTCATCTCTTCACGAACCGTTAGCGGCCAGTCGAGTTGAGTCTCGGAGACGACCTGCTGGAAGAAGACGCCAACCTGAGAGATTGCGGACGAGGCCGGAGCAGACAATGACGCGGAAGCTGGAGTCGACATTGAGGCAAAAGCGGATGCATATGGCGCACCGAGATTGGGGAAAGCGAGCTCCAAGTGATTGCGGTTGTGTTCAATGTCGCAGAAACTGGCGAATGAAGAGGCTGACGATGGAGAATGAAGAACATCCGACTTGAAGGGTGACCGACTTGCAGGCAAGTCGGCGGCATCTGATGGCGGAATTGTGGCTACCTGGTACTCGCTGTATGCATGACTCCCACTGTGTTCTGATTGCAACATGGGGTTTCAATATTGGCCAGAATTGACGGGTGGGACCAAAATAAAAAACAAATTAGCTATGCTTTTGATGCTATTTGCAATTTAAGCAAAAAACTGTATCATCAGGCAATCAAGGCAGCCTGAAGCATAATCCTGTGTTCACATAAAAGAGGACAAAATTCAATTAACCCAAATGCGTCTACTCGCAGGACCTATTGAAAACGGGAATGCAAACGAATGTACAGGAAATTCGAATAAAAATGAACTTAGATCAAAGGATGCTATCTTATTCTTCTATAACAAATTACGTCAAATAAATAATTCAATCATTAAATAAATCAACTTATTTCATTCGCTCCTACATTGTTATCAAGTGTTGTATTAGATATAGCAATTGGTAGTATACTTTACATTTAATTGTTTCATTAACTGTTGTCACCGCATATTAAAGTATTAAATCCAACTTTTTCCTATTATATGCTATTCCATTTAATTCCACCATCGCAATATTAAATGCAAATTTATTTTATATGAAGATATGAAGACCAAGATGTTTTGGCCTCCTCTCGATTTATACAAGTGGGTCGACCTCGTCGTCGCAACTTGGTCTTGTTGTCAGGGCGATTTAGTAGAACGCACCTAGTCCGAAATCGTCTGCCATAGTAGTTGCCTATTTGGCAAGTTAGTAGCTTGGTGCGGAGAATGGCAAAACTTACTGATGATGCCGGCGAAACGTTTGAGAATGTACCAAGTCAACTGTCTGATACTGGTAATCATGACAACTATTATGGCAGACGAATTCGGTCTAGGTGCATTCTGCTAAGTCGCCCTGACAACAAGACCAAGTTGCGACAACGCGGTCAACCCACTTATATTTTATATATTTATTTTCCATCCTTGAGAAAAGGAGATAACTTTTCAAAAAGCAAGAGCGCGAGTAATTATGCTTTGAGTAGTTGGCTTGCAAAATTCAACTCGCAGCGACACTCTGGAATGGAGTAACTTCGTCAAGTCACAATATGAAAGTAGATTATAGCTTTCTATAAGAATCTGGGATACGTTTTCTTCTTTACCCGATTCCACAAGATTACATTATATTCTCTTACCCCTTTACCTAGTATATCTTTCCAGTTCTATGCTATAATTGTCTTTAGTGCTTTACATTATTTTATATTATCTCAAAATATGTTACAATAGAAAGCACTATTTTCGTTTAAATTTTATATTGTGTCATACATGATTATATTGTATTTAATTGAATTTTGGTCCATATTATCGTTTAGCCATCTTTGAATGTTATATTTTTTACTTTTATAAAGCCTAAACTTCAGTTGTGAGAGTAGGAAGAACAGAACACAAGCCTTATTATCATGCTTAACGGATCAGGTGAAAGGATATTTTTTTACCAACTAAGAAACCTTCAAGTACTTGATAAACGACTTTAACAAATGCCTGTTGAGATATCGGTTGGGTAATGATCACTTTAAATTCCTTTATGCATTCGCAAGTCACAAGTGGCTATAGTTGAAACCAAGCAGATGATTCAAGCATCAAACCAAATTTTGAAAAAATATTCCGTTAATTTTGAAAAGTTTCTATTTTTGTCTATCCATGCATTATCTGTTTCAGCAATCAAGCAAAATAGCACATTTCCATGATAGATATGCGACTATAAATTAGGAAAAATTTACGAGTTTGGCCATTGTAGACTTGCTTGATGGGTCTCATCAATTACAGTGGCTAGATTGAACACTGAAATAATGAAGAGGCTTTACAGAAAGTACTTCGAATAATTTAGATAAATGAAAAGCAATTAAATATTCGATTGATTAAGTGATTACTTCATTGACAATCATAACAAAGAATGTAATAGGGCAAAGGGCCTGGCCTTCTTGGAATTCACATCTGCCCTGTAACCCAATGACATTCGTGGAAATGTGGCGTAGTGGTTAACGTGTCGAGCTTACACGCTGCACCGTCACGGTTCGACTCCCGCTTAGGGTGTTGATAAAACTATGCGAGATAGAAACTGTGTTCCCCTCCAGCTGGGATGAGAACAACTTTGGGGAAAGCAAGGCAATGTGAAATTCAATGGAACCGTCAGCTCTATTCATATCATTGCGTGAAAATTCTACTACCCGTCCTTCATCACCTCAAACGAAATAGGCTGGACACATCACACAAATACGCACAATCCTAATGGAAAGACTTTTCTACTAAAATGTTTTCATTCCCAACGAGCTCAAGGAATGACTCAATTCAATAATTTTTCACATTATCTAAAACCTGATATAATTTACTGTTGCTCATTAGGCAGTTTTTTCCTGGTGGTTTAGTGAACGAATTCCACATTGATGTATGAATTTAAATTGCTCCTTTTCACAAACCTTGTGGGCAGACTTTATATGACCTCTTTCTCTATGGAAAACAGTACCTCCGAACTATATAAAACTAACTGTAGCGACGCAAATATTAGCCAGCTGGTGCAAGGCTATGATTTAATCTGGTTTGAGCAGTTAAACCTACGTAGACTAGACTACCTCAAGCGAAAATGAGTAACGAGATACAGGACTCTGGAAGGGAATATACATATTATGTAGTTTTGATATCATTTGATTAAGGCAAAAGAGTGGTCAAATTTATCTTTTATGTTAGTCAAAGATTACTATCAACGCATTTTTAAGTCAGAGTGAAAGGGAACTATTTCGACAAGTTATCTGAAGGTCGTTCGAGCTCACTTCTTAACCATAAGTGGAGGCCAATATCTGCATTCTCTCAACTGATTCAATTATGACTTTATTGAGCACATTAAGGTTGTGCAATGATAGAATAAAACGATAGCAGGCAAAATACACTTCCTACCATTTACATACAATTCAGTCACATTAGAGCCAAGGGTTGTAAGTTGCGAAGGTATGCGAAGCAGAAGCTAATCGCAAAAACTATGCAAAGCAGAGCATATTTTAACTTTTTTTTTCACTTTATTATGGGCTTACCGAAAATGTTTACAGTATGAATCAAGACGAACTCACCACGTCAAGCCCTGATCACAGACTATCTGTATCAAAGTATTCAAGCAGGATGTATCAGCTTAGCCACTATGAGTGGTCTTGTTGCTTGACCGTTGTACCGAGCTCGTGAAGATTTTGGACAGTGGGGAGAAGCTGCTATGGCAAATTCACTTTTCCTACATAGTTATTAACTTTGCACAAATTTTTTTAACACAAGGCAACCATACAGTTTGCACATACAGAAGCCAAATTATCTAATCATTTAAAAAAAAAAAAGTCATGCAATCTCGCATACTGTAGCATAAATAGCCACAAAAAAAGGAAATTATGACGTTTCGGTTTCGCTTTTTTCTATTAACTGACAAAAGTCTGGTATACTTGCAAAGCTGTTACACTCTGCCTAATCAGATGGTGAATGAATGACGCCCATTAATGCATGTGTTTTTACGATGGTCCACAAGACTAACCAAACAATGTGTTGTGAAAAGAAATCAAAATAAAATAGAATAAAATAGAAATAAAATAATCGGATAACGTTCCGAAAGTATGGGCTTACGAATGAGCTAAATAATGGAGTGCAAAAAAACCAAAGCTCCATTGTTCATTTTACACACAAAATGTATAAGTCTGAACGAAGTCTGACGGCTTTCTTCAGTCAACATGGATTGGCAGAGAATGAGCATGTCTGATAGTCTACAAATTGTATAAGAAGCGTGCTTT